GGGGACAATGAAACAGTGGAATCGTTCGTGAATCGTGACTGCGTTATATACTCTAGCCGAACACTGTGATTATGGAACGCTACATGACAAGCTCATAAGAGACAGATTGGTAGTGGGACTGGCCGATCTAGGACTGTCTGAACGCATGCAGCTTGATAAAGATTTGACTTAAGAGAAAGCTATTAGCATGGCTAGACAGTCAGAAGAAGTGAAAAAACAGCAATGTGCTTTAAGAGATGATGCAAAAGGAGCTTGTTCAGTTGACAGTATATAAAAGCAATGCTACACAGATAAAACGGAAGCCTTCTAATCAAAGACTGAACAAAACAAAGGCTGGAAGCAGTTCGTGTCCAAAATGTGGAAAATTTCCCTCCCATGCAAAACACCAATGCCCTGCAAAATATGTAAATTGTCGAAGGTGTGGAAAAAAAGGACATTTCCAGCGTGTGTGCACTTCAGTTAAGTCAGTTCATGAGGTGACAGAGGAAAGCACCATATTCCTTGGATCAGCGACAGCCAAAGTGGACCCATGGATAACTGAAATTGCAGTGGCAGGCACAAAAGTAAAATTCAAGATTGACACTGGGGCTGATGTGACTGCAATCTCGGAGCACACATTCAAGAATATTTTCTCACATACTGAAAAGCCTACTGTCAAACCTGTGACCAGGCCTCTCATTGGGCAAGGTGGACAACAACTGGAGGTAATAGGCATGACAAGGTTAGTGCTGCAAAAGGGAAAAGCAGAAGCAACACAGAATGTGTATGTTATTAAAAACCTGCAAATGGCATTATTTGGCAGGCCAGCAATAACTTGTCTAGATCTAGTCACAAGATTGGACAGTATAGACATAACGACTTTAAAGAAAACATACCCAAAACTGTGCAGTGGTTTGGGGGTCATCAAACAGTGCCATCAAGCTTCAACCAAATGCAGTACCTTTCTCGCTTAAGACTCTGAGGCGGATTCCTTTGCCACTTAGGTGTATAGAGAAATACATACTGCCATCCGTGGAACAAAGTCTTATGTTTGCAGGGGCCAAGATATTTAGTAAGCTTGATGCAAACTCTGGATTTTGGCAAATTCCCCTAACCCCAGACACTGCAAAACTCACAACATTCATAACTCCTTTCTGTAGATTCTTCTTTAACCGCCTTCCTTTTGGCATCGCTTCAGCTCCTGAACATTTCCAAAGCCGGATGGTGTCGGAAATAACGGAAGGTCTGGAGGGGGTCACCTGTCATATGGATGATGTGCTTGTTTGGGGAGGAACTCAGGAAGAACATGATGCACGCTTGCACATGGTTTTGCAAAAGATTCAGAATGCTAGCATCACACTTAATGTGGATAAGTGTGATCTGTCAAAAAGTGAGATACACTTTTTGGGACATATCATCTTAGCTGATGGAATCAGACCTGACCCTGCGAAAAACCATAAGGAGAATGCAGCCACCCTCAAATGTTAGTGAGGTAAGAAGTTTGCTGGGGATGGTGAATCAGTTGGGGAAATTTATTCCACAACTTGCTAAGAAAGATAGACCTCTAAGAGACTTATTGTCAAAGAGAAATCACTGGGTCTGGGGTACAGAACAGGACAAAGCTTTCAAGGAGTTAAAAGCAGAACTTGCATCTACTCCTGTGTTAGCCATGTATGATCCTGAAAAAGACATCAGTGTTTTCTAAAAGTCATATAAATGCTAACTTTCAGAGAAGAAGAAAAAAAAGCTGTATGTGAAAATCCTGTTCTGTTACAGAGTTCATAAGCTGTAGGAAAAAAAACAGTACTTGTAACTTGTAACGTACATGCTAAAAGCGTTGTTGTAATATAGTAAGAAAAGAAAAAAAATATGTTCCAATATGTTTTTGAAAAAAAAAAAAGGGAGATGTGTGATATTCGCAATTATATGGTAATAAGTGGATTGCGTAATGACAGGGGAGGAGCTTAGGCTGGGTAGAGAGAGAGGTGTTGATATGATGGCGGCTATTGACAGAAGATTATTAAACTAAGTTCCTGCAAGTGATGGACTCACGCGTGATTTTCTGGTAAGAAAATACGACAGATATCACACTATAGAGACTGTGTCTGTTCCCCGAACTAGAAAATACAAAAAAATGTTCAAACCAATTTAAGGGTAACAATTTAATTTATGTTTAACAAATAAAAAACAGATGTAATACGGATAAACAAATGATAAAGCTTGGCTTATTGAATATTTGATCCCTTTCTACGAAAGCGCTTTTTGTAAATTAGGCTATATGATCACTTGCAGCACATCTACATTTGAAATAAAGAACTTGAGCGTGCAAAAAACGTGACATGTGAACGGTCCTTAGGTTAGAGGTCTGCGCGGGACTGTTTTTTAGTCCCGCTCCCGCAAGGTTCTATTCCGCACCCACCCGCTCCCAATATTCACTCTTTGTTCACCCGCAGACCGCTTAGAATAATTTTCATCCCGACCCGACCGTTCCCGCTAAATTTAGATCTCATTTCCAGAATCTCACATTTAAATTTCCACCACTGAAAGAGAGATAACAAATAAACTATGTAAATAATGTACTCTGCAAAAAAATGTATTTGTTATTTTGTAGAAACTTAAGAAACTTATTTTGTAGAAACTTAATTTGCTGTAAACTTGCTTTGCAACGATTTGTATCGTGAAAAGCGCTATACAAATAAACTTGAATTGAATTATTTTATCCGTCTTGTCAAGATGCAATTCGTTTTACATTTTGCTATCAACACATTAGGAAAAAGTGTCGCAGAGAAAAAAATATATAAATAGAAGCTTATTTCTTATTTTTATTGGTCTTGTTAAAATATATTTTTTTTTACATTTTGCTGTCAACCCAGTAGGAAACAAAACAAAAAACAAATTCGACATCTGTCATTTAAAATTATAAGCAAAATATGAACAAAACCGTTGGCTTGTAGCCATTGCGAAATGAAATAACTTTTTAACAGAACAATTTAACATCCCTGAGAAGAATGTCCCGAGTCAGACTTGCCTGATGTGGGTTTCTTAGCAGTAACCTGACCATTTTCCAGTCCAAGTTGAACGTCCTTCAAGGACAGCACATCCACACTTTGCTCCATCCTTATTCTGCTCTGTCACTCATCGACAACCTGCCTGTTCTGAGGGCCGTATATTTGCCACCGGTTTAGCTTGCTCTGAGGACCGTTATACACATGCTGCGCAAATAAAATGCGTGATGCAGAAAGTGCTGGTCCATGTGTGCAACATGTTCATATCAGTCCTGAGTGCAGGCTGTACCAGTGGTTAATAAGAATGTGTATGTTGTTCTGAAAGGACGTCGGGAACGGGATACACAAATTACACTAGAGTTACTGACCACTACCGCTTTTTATTCGGGAATTTAATCCCGCGTCGGGACAAGATTGTCCCGCTCTCACAAGATTGAATGCACGGATCCAATACTGATACACATGCGTTTTCTTTCTCAACTGTTTATGAGGATACTCGCCAGGATGGCCATTTTGACATCACATTTTACAAGCCACGCCCATGATTGTTGACGGACACTTCCGTATTAGCAGAGACCCCCGTTCAGACCTTGATTAGCTTGTTCAGGTGTGTTTGATTAGGGTTGAAGCGAAACTCTGCAGGGCTGCCGCTCTCCAGGACTGAAGCTCGCCACCCCTGCGCTAGAGCATTAAAAGCATTCAAGTAAAAAATGTCTTCTTATTAAAGCTATAGACGTTATTCAGTCCAGAGCAGTGAGTGATTTTCTGGTTTTATTTTATTGTTTGGGTCATATAGACCAATTTGGAGTAGACGTCACAGTTACGTCACTTGCAGCTGCGTGCGCATTGTGGTGGCAGAAAAACACTGGTAACAAGTGGAGGGAAACGGGTAAGATCCATGGAATAACAGAAAAAAATATTTTGTGCCTTTGGATGTCAGAATCAGAATGCAAATCATTTTCATTTTCCTGTAGTGAAAGGCCTCCTGAAGCGAATCGATGCGTTTTTGTAAGAAAAATATCCATTTTTAAAATGTTATAAATACTTTTCTCTCACTTCCGCTGACTTTCATACATGCAAGCTGTAAAGGCACAGTCCTATTCTGGAAAAGGGGGCGGGGAGCAGAGCTCATTTGCATTTAAAGAGACATGCACGAAAACAGCCCGTTTCTGCTTCCATTCTAAATAGGTATTTTCAAAATGATATAATAAATGATATGTGGGGTATTTTGAGCTGAAACTTCACAGACACATTTCTCTCCCCATTATTAGAATGCACAAATTATCGGATGATACGTTTTTCGGTTGTCTGACAAATGTTACATCGTGTTCATTTCATCTGTGGCAAAAATTGTGTGATTGCAACAACAGGAAGCAGTTTATTTCTAGGGCTGCCTTTTCAACTGATCCTCTGACTACAAGCATCAGAAGAATTGAGCATGCTCAATGTAAATTTATCAACAGAAGGTATAATATAGTAGTCACAGGAGCACAAATGCAATCTGTGGCACCATTTATTGACATAAGATGCACAATATTCATGAATAAGATAAAAATCTCATCTGTGATCTCACTGATAAATGCATTAATGTTATACTTGACTAAATTAACAAAATTGGCACTAGCAGCTTCAAAAGCAATTTAATGTGACATTGGCAACAAAGAAAAAATGTAAATGAATTAACGCAATAAACACAAAAAAGCAGTTTAGTGAAGCACAACTATGTTATGATTAGAAGGTATTTATAATACACAATTTGATATAGTTGAGAGTATAGGTAAGAAAGTCTTCTATCACCTAGCAATAACAACTCCATTACACTCAAAAGTTTCTATTGTATGTACAATATTAAATCAGTTAGTTTTTTTTTAATAAGAGACTCCATGAGATTCCTTTTCTACAGATCTCTAATTTCTGCCTCCGAGAGTTGCAGTAAGTCAAAGAAATTAAAGTCCAACCTAAGCTTTTAAATAAGATTTCTAAATCTACAGTCAAACAACATTAGGTCATCACTCCATGAGATTCCTTTTCTACAGATCTCTAATTTCTGCCTCCGAGAGTTGCAGTAAGTCAAAGAAATTAAAGTCCAACCTAAGCTTTTAAATAAGATTTCTAAATCTAGTCAAACAACATTAGGTCATCAGCTTGACAACATATCAAAAGCCCAGTAGCAATTTTCAAACATAAAATTAAGACACTATATCAAATCACATAAAATATAATCAAACTATGTAATCAGATTCATATTGAAGCTGCTGACATGTATTCAGCTCACAGATGATTTCACTCTTATGAGAATTACTTCTTATCCTTCTTCTTTTCCTAAAAAATAAAATAAAATAAAAGTTACACATGGAACAAAACAGATATAAATAATGATTCCATTATTGACAGCACAGAGCTGATGCAGTTATGATGTTTCAAATACCTTCTCATTCATAGAGAGGATGATAACAAGCTTTCTGAAGATGGTCACAAAGTCCAGGAAGAGGTCAACACAATGCCTTCATTTAAAAACAAAGAACAAACAAAAGCCTTGAAGCGTACACACAAAAAACAGTGCCATTTATTCCTCTTTACATTCCTTTTTCATTATGCACCACCTGTGGATGGTTCATTATAATAATAATAAATAATATATATTTTAGATACAATTAAATGGGACAGAATAAAGCAAACAAGTATTCTAAGTATATACTGGACTTGTGTAAAAGAAAGATCAGTGATCTGATTTAGATAATATTTTACTCTGTAAAATACTAATACAAACTAGGAATGCACAATATTTGATTTCTTTTCTTCAGTTTATCATTATAGGCTGATATTGGGTATTTATTGGCAAGTGTTGGACACTTACCTGTGGACCGTTATTTAGGACTATTCAAAATGAGTTTAAACCCAATTTATAAAAACCCAAAACAACATTAACCCAATTTACATTCACACAATACATGGTCCTCATGTCAAGCAGTTTAAAACACCTGGGTTTCTGCTGGACAGCACTGCTTATGTGGTCATGGAAATGCATAAGCTGTTCTTACATTTACACGTTTACAGACGCAGTACATAAACCTGAATGCTGTTTTCTTGTATTAAGAAATGCTGCTGTGTGAATTAAAGAAACAGTTCACCCAAAAATGAAACAAAAAAATACTTTCATGTGTGAAGGCCTGATATACTTTCATTCTTCGCTTACGGGTAAAAGGGTCAATATAAGCAAGCAGCGGTTAACTTTTAGCAAACATCCTGACGCTGCTGAGAGCGAAGTTTAGATGCATGTGTAAATATATGCTGCACGCTTTCCTCTCAGTAACAAAACAAACAAACAACAAAAATGGCAGCATGGGAAAACAGCAGTTAAGAAAGCATCTGATCATAGCAATGTGGATGTTTGCATGAGCTCTGCAATCGGCGCTACAGTAAAGTCACTTCATGTCATATTTTATAACACTTTATGCAGAAGACTGCTTTAAAGCAAGCAGCTTTACAGTATTACACATGAAGAAGAAGTGTCAGTGTTGCATTTGGTTAGAATTACAACTTGATTTTCTGCTATAAAGCAGCTCTATATGTAAATCAATAATGTACAGAAAACTCAATATTTTAAAGGGGTCCTATTATGCTCTTTTACAAAGGCTTGATTTTGTTTTGGGGGTGTACTAGAACAGGCTCTCATACTAGGTTAGGTTAAAAACACAATATTTTTCACATATTTGACATTATTACAACACCTCTCGGCTCCCCTCGGAGCCTGGGCGGGAAATGTCATGCCCCTTCCCATAGCCGCCTGCGAGCTTCAGTGTAAATATTGCATCAAAATCAAATCAATTTGAGCGCGATTTAAACCCGGATGATTGTAACCACTCTAAGTTTGTCTCCGACATAGTGATAACACTCGTTGCCTTCTCTAAAGCAGCTCAACCAGGTCTCGTCCCATTCGTCGATATTTGTGATATCACAAATCCCGGAAAATATGCATTGTAGTCCAAACGAGTCGCTCGTTGTAGTTTTTGAAAAGTGATTTCTGTTAAATAAAATATCTCCTTTTGAAGTGGACTTTGAGCTTTGTAACTTTGCAGATCTTTTTTATTCTCAAACAGCAACATTACAGACTAAATAAAGTTGAAAAGGTGAAAAAGCATAATAGGACCCCTTTAAGAAATTGCAAAAGCTGAACAATAGATCAAAGAATATTGATTAATTAATTTGTTGATTTTTTTCGTTCTAAAAATTGTTTTAGATTAATTCATTTTCAAAATAATTGTTTGTTGCAGCCCTAATAAATATGCAGCTTCTCCAGATGTTAACTGA